CTGTACATATTCCGTGTAGGATAACCTACTGAAGTGACCCCGAACGTAGTGCGTAGTTATAACCTTCGTGCCTGCTTTGCGGGCTCTGTCGTAAAGTGATACCACGACATCCTTTGGAAGCATGAGCCCATCAAAGCCCAACCCTATTTCAACTCTGCCGTCTCCATAAGGAGCTGCAGTAGCTAAATCACTCAGCTGCTTTACCACCCAGTCATCCAGGAAATTTCCACCAGGTACTATCTCTGGCTTCCATGACTTGACAGTGTGAGTGGGAGTGTAGCAGAAAATTGATCTAATTCCGGATGAGACCGTGGCTTGGAGGCCGTGTAAAGCTATACTGGGTGAGCTTTAAGCTGGAATAATCGAAGTCTATCAACTTACAATGAGCGGCCGTGACATTCATATGGGCATGATCTACGACCGTTGTGGTGCCGGCATCCAAGGCCTCGAGACAGCCTGCCAGCTGGCCCCAGAAGATATCTTCGGGTGAATAATTGATTTGTTGAAGGTTTCCTACATCTATAAGCAACCAACAGCACTGAATTGAAAGAAATTAACTGACCAGTGGGCATATACTCTATCAAGGTATGGTCGGCATGACGTCCCTTGAGCTGTGTCTGCCACAGATGATGGTGCGTATCAATAAACCCAGGCGACACAATCTTGCCCGTGCAGTCGATAACCTGGGTGTCGACTGATGGAGGTGCAATATGCGACGAGATCTGCGCTATCTTGTTCTCCTCAATCAACAGAGAGTGCTCGCGGAGTGGTGTAACATCATCCCCGGACGGGACGAGAATGGTCGCGTTCTGGAGCAAGATCGTAGAAGGCATTTTGTAACAATTGCTTGAAGATTCTATCAAACTTAATCTGCGTGAAGCGGGATATCTATATAACAGTTCCCTTGGTTCCGATGACATCGAGCGGGGAAGAGAGGGAGCTCAATTTCCGTGTTCGGATAGGTGGTGTGACTAAAATCCCACGTCACTCCTTTGGTGTTATCCTGCTGTTCCAGAACAGCCTAATTTGTAAATCTGAAGCTCCGGACACCGAAGACGCGAAATCCGACCGTTGAGCCGGAAGTGCAATCGGACATAGGGAATTGCGGACTTAGCAATTTGTTGAAACCTTATGTTCGAGGTGGTATCGGAGATCGATAATAGCCGCCATATAAGGCAATGCCATTGATACAGATGGTGCTCTTCGTTGTGGGCGCACTTTTGCAGACTCTGAATAACTTTTAAAATACGCTGTCTTCCAATCCAGTAGTCACTGATGGTTTTCTGCTGTCGCTAATCAAGGGGAAATCATACCCTTTGCATTGGCAGTACTTTGTACCAGTTATCCCTTGCGCAGTGATTCCTAGCTGAATACCATCACTTCAGACCGCAAGTACGCAGCCAAAATGGACTGGATCTGCCAGAACCGACTGAATTTCAGGCTCCAGTTGATTAACCTGTCATCAAATCTCTGGGTAGAAGAAGCAGAATCTCCTTTGCGGACCATATCGGAGAATAGTTCACTTCTCAGCCATCATAGAAGTTGTAGAGCGACATAGTCTAGGGGGGTACGCAATGCTGGCTTGACCGAGGTAAAACAGTCGACATCTTTCTCAGCACGCGGTTAATTACCGATGTCTATCTGGGAATGGATACTTTATCAGCATTGTATTATCCCAAGGAACGTATGTATAGAGACAACACCTTTGTTATTCGCATACTATCACACTTTGTGAGGTAATAGAGAGTATTGAGAGAATCACACGTCAAAGAACAAACTGCTCAGAGAAACAAGGGGAAAGCGAGTTGACAATTGTTGATTGTATGATAACTACAGTGGAATCAAGAGTGAGACTATTGAAAACTTGAGAGGTGAAGCACATGACTGTCACCAAACGTGTGGTTACCCCGCCTTCCAATTTAGGTATACTATAACCTGTCAGTAAACATGAAACTACAACCCACATATTCTACGAGAGCGAATCCAAATAAGGTACACCTGCTCAGATTCCTAACTTGACAATAAGCTAAGGTGCCCCTGAACACAAATCACAATAGTATTGATTCCTCTTATCTCTCTACCTCGGCACGTGAAACATCCAGCCTTATAATACCCCCACTATAGCAACACCACCATCAGAACAACAATCACAAGATCTGCTCACCACAATCTATTCCCACCACTCATACAAAACACTCAGATATAAACACACCAACAATTCTATACATCTAAGCCAAAGACACAACAAATCCACCCACTGATCATATATACACCAAAGTCTAAGTCTATCAAGCCTCTAGTCTACCATCACACCACCCCACCCCCACTATGCATGCCCCTCACTAACTCACTCCCTAGTTTCTCCCCGCCTCCCTCTCAGCCACCATCTCAGCAATATGCGGATTCAACCAATACTCCCCCAATACCTCCGTACTCAAGTTCTTCGCACCATCAATCCGTCCCTTACATTTCTCCCCACTGCCACACGTACACTCAAACGGCTGATCCATCTCCCACTCCGTTGACGGGTAGAAGAACGTCAACGGTTCCCCCGCCTTCAAGTCGCGGTTATCCACCACCCGCACCTCCATGTTGTGCATGTCAAAGTTGACTGTCGGATCACACGAGTGGTTGCAGTACACCAGATCGGAGTTCAGCTCGATGTGGCTGTCCCGTCCTGTTTGCACGGATGTGTAGGCTTTCTTCGACGGTGTGGTTCCGGTGATTTTGCATAGCAGGGAGCCGGCGGGTGCGGAGACCAGACTGTATGCCCCGCTGGCGAAGGGAATCGGGCTGCGGTTGACTTGGATTAGGGTGGGGTGAGTGGGAGTGGGTTCTTGTGTTGTTGTTGTAGTGGTGGTGGTTGTGGTTGTCATTGTGGTTGCCATTTTGGAGGAGAGGTAGATAGAGGAGTAAGTAGTGATAGTGGTGTAGTAGTTATGTAGGTTGTATTGTAGGTAGGTAGGAAGGAAGAGGTGAGAGCGTTACTGGGAGTACCGACGGACACCTACTCCCCTCCTTAAGTATCGGCGCAAAGGACCTCCAGCATGTTGCATCGGCCGAGGATGTCTGCGGACGAGTGGATCTGGCAGCAGATGATGACGCAGGACTATTGGCAGAGTCATGGAGTTTAAAGTGGAAGGGCGGGAATGATCACGGAATAGGCACTTTGTTTATGGTTATCTGGTGGATCAGCCGAGGTACATCACGTAATAGTACTGGTTTGCCTGCATTAGAGTACAATCCTATTCTTGATGCGTGCATGAGTTTCTTAGTCTAATTTTTCGGGCTCAATAAACTAGGTAGTTAGTTAGTTTGAAATATCGACATCATTCCACGCCATTCCACACATCCCCGCTTCTATTGAACATCCAAACGAAGACACCACCCAGAATCAGCACAAACTCAATTCAACCGCACCGTAAACTCCTGTCCATCCAACCACCGCTCCAAATTCTGGGCCACTTCTTCATACCACCCATGGATCTGCTCATCCACATATCCCATATGCGGTGTCAAGAGCACCTCACTCCGCCCATCCTTCCCCCACGCCGTCGTTCTCCACGGACTATCCGCCGGCAACGGCTCGGTCTCAAACACATCCAACGCCGCCGCGGCAATCCCACCCCGATTCAGCGTCTCCAACAACGCCGTCTCTTCCACCAACGGGCCGCGTGACGTGTTCACAAGAAGCGCGGACTTCTTCATCGCTCCGAGCTCCTCCCGCCCCACGATTCCCCGACTCCGCTCCGACAGAACATTATGTAAACTCACCACATCCGCCTGCCGGAAGAAGTCCAGCTTCTGGGGAATGGCCTCAAAACTACCTGCAGGTAATCCCATCGCCTCTGCTTGCTCGTCCGCTTTCTCCTGCGTTAGGTTCGTCGACCACGCAATCACTTTCATCCCGAATGCCTGGACTGCTACCCGCCCCACTTGCGCCCCGAGCTTCCCGACACCGAGCAATCCGAGCGTTCTGCCCGCCAGCGACAGACCGAGTGACCCTTGCCATTCGCCGCGTTTGATGGCTGCGTCGTCGCGCGCAATGTGCCGCGCTGCTCCCAGGATCAGTGCCCAGGTGTGTTGCACTGTGGAGTGGACGCCGGTGAGGCGGTACTTTGTCCCTGCAACGGGGATGCCCCGCTCCGCGCAGTAGGCGGAGTCCAAGGCGAGGTTGCGCGTGCCGGTGGTGAGGAGAAGCTTGAGGTTGGGGAGCGCGGACAAGGTCTCCTTGGAGAAGGGAGTGCGTTCGCGCTGAGTGACGATGATCTCAAAAGGGTACAGGCGCTGGATGAGTTGCTTGTGCTGGGCGGGGTCGCGCGGGTTCAGAGTGTCGGGGAAGTAGCTGATGTCGACGCGGGAGGTTAGGTGGGCAAAGTGCCGGGGGGAGATGTTCTGGTAGTCATCGAGAATGGCGACTTTGGGAGGCATCTTGATGGTGTTCAGAAGTAGATTGATCGTGAACGTAGTGTGGTGGATAGAAAGTATCTATGGTGATAAATAATTTGGTAGGAAAAGCCGGCTTATAACCCGGGATGAGGGTATATCCGGAACCCCGCGATGAGCTCAGATTCTCCCCGCACCGATCATCGGAGGGGCAACTTCGGATAAAGGGACTTGATGCAGGGACAATACTCTAAATCTCTAATATTAAAATATATTGTGTATATGTACCATTATCGACATTAAAAGGGAAAATTCATTCGAGAGCACCCATATACCCAACTAAATTATGAACCAAATACTTTTTCTGTCCCACTGTAGATCTACCCCGGATACTCCACTCCAGCACCCATCCCAGCAGATACTAGATGATGGAAGCACAGAGCTATTCCTCCATAAGATACTAAATGATGGAAGCACAGAGCTATTCCTCCATACTGCTATCAGGTTACATCCACCTGGCAGATCAACAAGCTACTACTACTACTACTACTACTACTACTAGCTCCCAGTACCTATCCAAACATCCAAACAGCGTAGCACACCACCACCACCACCTACATCCCCTCCCCCTCCCACTCCGCCGCCCTCTCCAACATCTCCACACTCGCCCTAAACAACACCCTCTCCCCATCCCGATCCGCAACATCCCACCTACTCTCAAAATCCACCCTATAAAACCACAACGCCTCTTCCACCGCCCACCCCTCCCGAAACATCACCTCCGGTTCACCACGACAACACGCCCCCGCACCATCCCGGAGCTTATTCTCCTCGGACAAGACGACGCTCCCGTCCTGGATCCCGGCATCCAGCATCTCCCTGCTCTTTTCGTAGATGGATTCGAGAAGCGCGCCGACGTCGGCGTGCAGGATGCGTGTGCTCAGGTCGGCGTTGTTGGCCACGCAGTCGCGACCTGTCGTGATGTAGATTGTGCCGAGATGGTCGAGGGGTGCGGGGCCGGTGAAGGATGGATGGGTGATGAGGCGTGTCCCCGTGGGGGTTATTTGGGGAGTGAGGGATCGGGATAGGTGGTAGAGGGAGGTGATGCGGTCGTGCAGGGGGAGGAAGAGGAGGTGGGTTAGGTGGGTTGTTAGGGTGGGGGGTTGGTGGTGGTGGTGATGGTGATGATGATGATGATGGTGGTTGTGGGGGAGGAGGTTTGGGGGGTTCATTTTGGATGGGCTTGATGGTGTGGGAATGGTGGTAATGATGGTGGTGGAGTTTGCAGATTGAAAATTGAAAATCTGATAGATCAGACTTTTGTTGACTTTATATACTTGCTGGGGGCGTGACTTTTGTGGCTTCATGGTTTGTGTTACTGTTCATGATGGTCTGATTAAGTGGTACTTTTCATTGCATGCTACGGTGAGGTTTTGGAATCAATGTATAAGTGTATATTATGGAAGCTATATAGGGAGTATGATGATGCATAAGAACCTCAATTCAGTCAGGTTGTCACGGTTGTGCTCGTCGTCCCACGAGTTTGTACATAGATTCTAAAAGGCTTACTCCAGCATTTGCTCCCGCCTTTCTTTCCGTCGCTGATACACTCAGAGTTTGTTTTCTGTCAGCTTTGTCACTGCCATTTTCCATGCTACCGTCATATTGCTTTCGTCCATCACCACCGTCACCACCATTGCCTCCATCACCACCATTACCAGAATTACTGCCAGTTCCAGTGCTGCTGCCTGCTCTAGTGCTGCCCCCTGATTCACTATAGCTTTGGGAACTGTTTCCATTATTACTGTCATCGTCGTCGCCATCGTCGCCGTTTGCTTTCCGAATGAGCCTTTGCCGATAGCGATATGCCTCTTCCCTGAGATTCCTTAATGCAGTAACCCCATTCTTAACCAGTGCGACCAGCTCATTTTGCCCGAGATTTCCATCAAATAACTTGAAAGCCTTGATCGCCGTAATCTGAAAGTCCATCTTTCTCCCCTCTGCTTGAGGAGGAATAGCATGAATAGCGTAGATAGTCATATGGGTAGTCGCAAGCACGGCAACAAACGTGTGCGCCTTTCCGCTAAATTCAAGATAGTCTTTTCCGTAATGTTCGAGCTCAAATAGTGCCCGTGCTCCAAGAGCGCCGCTATGCAAGGCAGCACGTTCCCCAGCAAGCCGATCATCATGCTTGCATATGTTGTAAAAGAAGAAGTTCGGCAAGATCATCTTGTTGGGATCTTCTTTGTCTTTTTCCGCACCATCCAAGAGGTGATAGGGGGTAATGTATCCTTCAAGCTCTGTGTGGATTGGTGGTTGGTTTTCTTTCTGGTCTTTGCTTTTTACTCCCCCCTTACCCTTTTCCGTCGCCTTGTCCTTTCCCTGCCCAATTCCTCTTTTGCCCGTTCGCACAGGCTCACTCCCCGAACTCTCCTCCTTCACTTGGCCCACGAGGGCCTTCGGATCGGCTCCATCGACGAGATCAGGCCTGGCCGAGATCATGTGCGGCACTATAGGATCCAGATTGTAGAAATGCTTCTTGAGTGCTGTTATCGTTCCCTCTAACGGCCCATCTGTATGCCTCATGGTGCTGTCATATCGGGCGCCGAAGAGGTTCAGGTAGATGCCTGGCAGCACGTTGCTATTAGTCTTATATTGCCTGCACATATTACCAATGCCACGCGCTGCCCCGGGACCAAAACTATCCAGATCGGATCGATTCTGCATCATTATCCGTCGAAGATCACCGATATTGAACGGCTCGCGCTCCCTACCAAGCCGTTTCTCGACCCCGTTATGATTCAGATAGCCTTCTAAATTCATGTCGTAGATAGCGGGCATACTGAGTTTTGGGACATCGAATTCGCGGTCTCGATTGCTACGATGTTGATACTAGATTAGTAGATTAGCTTTTAATGAGTCTGGCTTATAACAAAAGGCGGAAGCCTACATCACACAGGTGCGTCAAATCAGGCCCGCCTCTTCTCGCAAAGTCCTCGACAGACTTGCAGTCAGTTTTCAAAGGTGGTGTCTCGTCACGACCGTTTCCCCATCTGATCTTTCCTTCGCGGTGGCGGAACTCCATAAGTGCGCTGTAAGTCAAATGGATCTTTGGATGCTGATCCCAGTATTGCTGGCTGAAAAGCTTTCTTTGCCTTCGACGGGCAGCCGACTTCTTCGTTTTTGCCATTCCTCCTTTCAAGGGCAATGGATCTAGATAACGAGCTGGTTGGGATACTTGCGGAGGGCTGGTGTGCTGGGATTCTAGCTCACGTTTGACACGCTTTGCGATGGCCTTTTGGTGGGGTTGTTCGTCGTTTGGCGGAGTTTGTGCCATGGTTGTACAGTACGGTTGATGTGTCTGTTTGTAGGAAGTGTTGGATTCGACCATGACACATCTTGAGAGTCCCGTCCTGCTTTGCTTCTACATATAGGTGGGTTGGTTGCACAGTGCATTGTGAACGCCGGGTTCATTGTTTGCCTGTGTTGGTTCTTTGTTTCAGCGGTGTGATGTTGCTGACAACTGTTGTCTATTGTCCAGTTCAGGTGTAAGAGACTTTGTTCACTAGTTTCAGGCAAAAGGGTGTTCAAGAGGTCTTTTGACGTTTTATTGTGAACTGCGTAATAGAAAGAGCTTTCCTTGTTTGTAATACTGTGGTATTCATATACAGCATCATGTATCTACCCTTAAGGCAGGTGCATTGTTGAGACGGCTAATGCCTGAAGTATAATGCTCATTATATTTTCCTATCTTTGAAACACTATGATGACTTCCATTGTTTGTCTAGACGCCCATTATGCTATTCAAACACCGCCAGCCAAGTCATACACCTTCAAACCCATTAGAATATATCTAACAAACAGAATTTAGCGAAAGCATTCCCATTTCCTTTATGACCATTGTTTTAACAGATTACTATAAGCATCTATGCCTTCTCCAGCTTTCCTTCCCTCTTGCCTACACATTCCTAGCATAATTCAGTAGAGTTAACCCAAAATGGAAAAGAAAATGAAACAACTCGTGAGTGAGTTCAACTTTCATAAGAAACAGTGACTAATTGAGATCAGGATATCATCATCGCAGGCCGTTTCAAACTCGTCAATTACATCTCTTCGGGCACCTATGGCGAAATCTATGAAGGTAACCCCCCACCTCCATTTCCTCCTTAACAAAAACTAACCATCGCAGCAACCGACCTCAATACCAAATCCAGAGAGCGCGTTGCGCTCAAAATGGAACGCACAAAGTTATCTGATTCACTCACCAGGGAGTCATTTTTCTACGAGAAGCTCCAAAAGGGCAAATCCACCGGCATGCTTAAACTCCACTTCCCTACCGACGTCTGTGATGAGTACCGCGTCATGGGTATGGAACTTCTAGGCCCCAGTCTCTGGGACCTCAGATACTTCTGCGGGGGGGAATTAAGCCTCAAGACAGTTCTTTTGATAGCCGACCAAGCGATTTGTCGATTAAAGTCTTTACATGACCAGGGTATTATCCATCGGGATTTGAAGCCGGATAATTTCCTCATGGGGAGAGGCCGTGAGGGAAATAAGATTTATCTTGTGGATATGGGCCTTGCGCATGAGAAGGTGATGGCACCTGGCAATCCGATGAATTATAACGGAGATCAGGCAGGTTCGTTCCTGGGTACGAACGACTATGCACCTAGGGCTGCGCATCAGTTACATTGTGTGTTTTCCCTTATTACCCTTCGGATGATATACTAGTTGTTACAGTATACTAACAGTGGTGTAGGTCAGACGTATCGGGACGATATGGAGAGCTTTGGCTACGTGCTCATTGACCTTCTCAAAGATAAATTACCCTGGAGTGGTATGACAACTACTGTTGGGGGCCAAAGTCCCGAACAGCAGATGGGCAACAAGAAAGGACGAATCACTCTGGATGATTTGTGCGAAGATCTTCCAGAAGTGTTCAAACAATACTTTGAACACGTGAGATCACTGCGCTATAACCAGCGGCCGAACTACTCTAAGCTCCGGCAGAGATTCGCAGCCGAATTCAAGCGGCAGGGATTCAGCCATGACTATGTCTTTGACTGGACAGAAAAGCGCTTTAAGGAGGCAGTTGCAGAACCAGCTGAAGATCCGTATGTATCATTTTCGTCAAGTAGCAACCCTAGTTAATAGTGAAATATCTATTCTCTAGAACACCCGGAACAATCCCACCATAAGGATAAACAGAAACAGCTATATAGCAAAGCACTACTTAGATCAAATATGAATCAACCCCTTACTCCAACTTAACCAACTTTTCCCCCACAAACTCCTCAAACCCCCTAACCCCCTCCACCAACCCCAACGTCTCCCTAACCTTCCCCTCCTCATCACCCCCATAATACCCAACCTCTTGATAAAACCTCAACATATCCACGACCTGCCACCCCTTCTGCCCCGGCATGAACCCGGCATACACCTCCTCCTCCATCCTGACATATCGAACCTTCTTCCCCATCACCCTACCCATAATATCCACCACCTCTTCAAACGACCAAGCCCCATTAGCCGCATAAACCCTCTCAGTCTCCTCCGTCAGAATCGGAACCACAAACTTCCCCAAATCCCTCACCGCATCAATCAGCGGGATCTTCTTCCCCCCATCCATAACATTATACACAACCAAGTCCGCCTTTCCCTCCGGATCAGGAAGAGGCCTCATGAACGTCTCGAAATTCTGTATGAACATGCCCGGATAGAACACAGATACTTTAATCCCGTGGGATGAGGTTAATGTGCGTAGTGCCTCCTCAGCAGCGAACTTCGAGTCGAAGACGTCTACTTCCCGTCCGTGAGGTTGAGCAGACACGGCACTGCTGAAGATGATGTGTTTGATGCTGCTGGGGCATGCGGAAATGACGTTTTGCACTTGTGTGAGTTCTTGGTGTTTGAGGTCTGGGGCCGAGTAGTCCGTTAGGGTTATTAGGATTAGGGTGTGTGTGTTAGTTAGGACTGAGGTGAGGGTGTCTGGGTTGTTGAGGTCCGCGGAAAGGACTTCGATGCTTTGCTTGGTGAGGGATTGGGTTGTTGGGGAAGATGGGTTGCGGACTAGGGCGCGGAGAGTGTATTCGTTGCGTAGGGTTGGGTGGTCAGTTATAGCGGAGATGATGGAGAGGCCTTGCTGGCTGGTGGCAGGGAGGATGGTGAAGATTTGGGGGGACATGGTGTGGTTGGTTGGTTGTGGTTGATCGTAAATGGTGTGGTTTTATGATGTGAGTGTGTGTAGATTAATTCAATTGTTGATTGCTGGGATGAAGTTTTGGGGTGGTGAAGCTGCTGTTGAAGTATTCGTGGTATACTCGGACTTTGTATATACTTCCGGTCGGAGATTGTATGGAGACCGGATCCTGTGTTGCATCTAGTTGTTAAGGGCGGATATAGACTGCATGGGGACCGGTCGGTGTCCGGGCTCTTTGGACCGACATGGGCTGAGGGTCTCGGGAATTTAGCTGCTTACTAGGTTAGGAATAAATGTTTGTTTAATCAAGATTTAGAAGTGTCTTGGGATGGTATACTTGCTTGTGTTGAGCACAACCTTAGTATACTGATGATGATTGCCTGTAGATCTACCATTATCCCTTGCATGCGCGGACTGATAAGGTTAGATAAATAGATACATTCGGGGATAACTAGTGCACGTGGCTCGCATACCATTTACCCCTTGTGTAAGACCACATAATATGGCATTGATTTATTCACCAAGGTCCTTGATCTATTTGCACTCCGAGTCCCATGGACATGGTACCCTGTAGCTAGAGCCCGGCTCCACTTTCCGTCCGCAAGCTGCAAGCTTAACGTTGACACTTTAAGTCGACCACAAATCTTCAAACATCCAGACGGTCTCCCCATGGCATGTTTGATGCAGAACTATTCAGTGAGTTTCAGAAAAGAGACATTCAGTATGCATAAAAGTCCATTCATTGTGTAACAGGGAGTGACTAATTCAATTAATGAAACGCCGAAACAATACCTACTCAGCCTCATCTCGTAAGCTACCTACGGTCCCACCGCAACATTCTATGCCTTACAGAGGCGCCATCCCCTCAAACTGCCCAGCTCCTTCCGTAGCATCAAGCCAACATACCCGTCTCTTGGTAAAGACTTCATGTCCTGGCTTATATCTATTCACGATCTCATCATCGAAAACACCAGCACGCACGACCCTGAATCCACCTGCGCTTCCATCGGCATTTACTTTATATCCGAAGAGCGGCGTACCTACCAGCACCATAGGTCAATTGATGTAACTCAGAGATATTGAGTGATCGGTATAACCACATACCACAGTCACCACAGAAATGGTTCACGATCCGAACTCCGCTGTCAGACGTCTTCGGTAGCTCTTTGGGATTCCCTGTGATCTTTACGTTGACATCTTTGAACACGAAGTTGTAGGAATACAGAGTGCCGGTGACTTTGCGGCAGTCATGGCAGTGGCAGATGGCCTATTCATTGATTAGAAGACTATCCTTGTTGAAGGGCATTGACACCCAGTCGGGTACTAACCACTATCATAGGCTCGCCACTAAACTCAATTTGGATATTCCCGCAGAAGCAGCTGCCTGTCGTCATTTTCAAAGTATGGGTTGTTAGGTATTGTATACAGATAATATCTTTCTGAATTGTGCCTTATGAAAGTTGTTCTAAACTGAGAGTCACGAGGCGGCTATATATTAATAGTCACAGGGGTGAGCTCAGAACCTGAGATTACAAATCTAAGGTAATCCCAACGTAAGCGGGTTGGGGCTGAGGTATAGTTCTTGAAGCTCAACACCTCCCCGTTGAGTCATCATGGCGGCGTTTCAGCTAGTTAACTAACTAGTTTAGCGGCAAATATATAAGCATCAGCGAACGAAGATAACTACTGTACAGGATTATCTGGGATACCTTATCAGCCCGAGGAGTAGACTGATTAAACTAGGTTTCGGGCCTTGTGGAAGACAAATCAGCCATAGATCTAGAGCTTTTCCTTGAGCGAGCGGGGTATTAGTGTAGCATAATACTAAATAAGTCGTATTAGTCTGCATTACCCAAATTTAGCACCGCCTATCAATATCATACTCAAGGTAGCGCTCGTGTAGCCGGAGTAATTTGTTAAGAATAAATCTACCAGATACATAAGAGTGCAGGTCGTAGTTTGCCGCAGTCCCAGAATGGAAGCTGAGGGCCGCGTGTTGCTTCAGTCCTATGAAGCGGCATTGTGCTTGCCACGGGGAAGGAGACGTAAAACTAAATTTCATTCGTCTAGACATGAGAAAGAAATTTTGGGTTCAGATCATAGGAATTACCTGTGATGAAATTGTCTTCGGAGGATGAGAGGTTTAGTGTCTATTGACGGACAGACACTCGGACGGCTCCATGATAAGCCAGTCCGACCTGCAGCCCGACAACACAATGCGCCCGCCCGGGTTTCCCCTTGCGGTGGCCCCCTGCTTCTTCCCTATACAGACTCATTGTAAGGACTGAGAGGCACTAATCATATTTTATACATTCTTTTCAGTACTAGTACCATGATCGCCTGTTTCAGATACGAATTGTGCTGGAGGCTAATCTTGGTCAGCCAAGTGCCAGAGAATAGATCAACTCATACGCCGGGTACGCTGGCTACTCTGCAAAAACATTTGCAGCATCAGTATCTAGAAATAGTATATGGAATATGTTTTTCGGTCGGATAGGAAATAATGCGTGGTCTTAAATCAAGCAACCTCCAAGCATTGAAAGCAAAGTATAATATATACGTCATTAAGACAAGGGTTTTTCGATCATATTGCTCTTTTACGAGAAACTGAAAGTTTGTCGGCAGGGACCATGGGCATGCCACTCACATCACTAAATTAGCAGAGGGTGGCTTCAACCGTGTCTTCCTCATAACAATGAATGACGGATTCGAGGTTATTGCGAAGATACTATATCGCTTTACCGGTCCAAAGTACTATGCCACTGCTAGCGAAGCTGCTACCCTATGCTTTCTCTATGCAAAAGGCATCCCTGTTCCCCAGCTATATGGGTATTCGCCTTCAGAGGATAACACTGTCGGTGTGGAATACATCCTAATGGAGAAGGCCATGGGTATTGTATTACAGAATAAATGACATGGCATGCGCAAACGTGATCGGAATAATCTTGCATCGAGTTCCGTTGAAATTGGGGGAAGTTCTTCAACATCCCTTTTGGTTCTATCGGAAGCCTTTACTTCAAAAAGGACATTCAGCAGGACCATCAGGCTACTCTATGTGCTCCCGATGTACCACACAACGAAGACCCTGAAGTATGTTGTATTGGTCCAACAGCGATTTGCATGTTTTCGTACGGTAGAAGAGCCTCTCTGGATATTGATCGTGGACCCTGTGAGTTTCTATGATTGGACATGATGATTCCTCCACTTTCTCATCCTCACAGGGAACGACCATAAAGAGTACCTAGCGTGTATTGCTAGAAAAGAGGCTGAATGAATCCGCTGCTTTGGGAAACCAGTTGAATTGGACTTCCCATATAATGGCGTCTTTCCTGGGTTGAAGTATCCGGCTGATTACTTGCCACTTCTGGACAAGTACCTCGCTTTAGTTCCATTTCTGCTTCCGGAGGACACAAACAGTCGTCTCAATAAACCGACACATCGGCATCCTGGTAAGTGTTCAAACTGTGGTGTGCGCCATCATTCATTCTAATATGTCAAAGATATGAACCCAAACAATATCTTTACTTCACCAGAGTCTGGTGCTGTGTCCTGTATCATTGACTGGCAGCACACCTTCATTGAGACACGCCTGCTGGCAGCTGGCTATCCTCGTGCATTTGAAAACCCCGATCTCCAACAGTCAACTGATCTTAAAGAACCATCACTTCCTTCGAAAAGCCGAGGCGGATGAACTCTACCGGCGACGTTTACTATCTTATCATTACCGTATCTTCAACGGCCATTACAACAAACCCCATCTTGAAGCTTTACGTGACCCCATTTTGCTTCCTCGGCAGCATCTCGTTGATAGGGCGGGCCGTCAGTGGAGTGGAAATCTAGTCACTTCGAAGGGAGCTTTAGTCCGGGTGGTGAAATATTAACTGACCTACCTGATACAGAGGGGAAGCACTGCCCTCTAAAGTTCTCAGCGGAAGAAGTGAATGACTTCCACGATGAGGAACAAACATGGCTCAATCTGAACAAGGTGGTGAGTCAGTGGTATGATCAGGTAGGTGGTGTGTCCGAAGAGGGATGGGTCAGTAACGAATGCTATGATGAGACTGTCCAAAGAGTTGCGGAACTCAAGTCTGCACTATTAGCGAGTGCGGAAGATGATAAGGAAGACATTCAGCCGGCTATTGGCAGAAGGATGGCTATTCAGGGATCGCGACGTGTCTAATTAACACTAATAGGACCTCCTCTATGAGCGAACCATTGGTGATCTAACTTCTTCACGGGCCAGACTAGTAGTCGTATTGGCTTATTGGAATTCCATACCATACCATACTATAGCAAACTACTGACACAACAGCAGAGCAAAAGGCCGACATTATAGTGTTATAATAAAATAGAACATGGAAGGCGTTTAACAAAGTATTTTATATATCGGTTTCATAACTCCGTATTCATTGCCATACTAGTTACTAGTAACGAGAATGATGGCTACAAATAACCCAGTAGTTTATTAGTGGGAAAAGCTAACCGGATTCGAAGTATTGCCAGTAGTAATAATAACGTATCGGATCTAATGGGAAGTTGCTGTAAGACGATCACAGGCTACTAATTCATCCAAAATGTGATTTGATGTAGAATTAACTGTATTGTCTGTCGGCCTGTATAGTCTCCAAGGCAACTGCAGAGCATAATATAGACACTATTACTTTCAAAATACTGCTATTAGTACTTCCATAAATACCGAACTACAACTTGGTATGGAAAAGTCACTCTTTTTTTTTCTATATATATATATTTCTCATTCAACGCAGAAAGCAACTGTCATGGCCCGGCTGGGGTGAATAACGAAAAGGTATTACGCTTGTTGGATGAAGCAGACGAAAAGGAAACGGACATGGATGTAAGACATGCATGTGTAAATGATTAAGTCGCAACTTATGTGCTGGATGCTTGTTTGAAAATTTGTGTCGGAGCTTGGCATCATAGGCTTTCTTTGTCCGAGAGTTTGCTTGCTGAAATGGTAACTACATCCTGCGTCCAGTACTAATGCATAATCTCATGGAAGGTATCGTGGTCTGGGATACTTAAGGCTGTGGCTCTTGACAGTGCCAGGCTATACCAGGCGGTTTCGGTATAGAATACTTACTGCCTGCGGGGGAAGATCTGCTGGAAAAAGTATGTAGTCTTGCAGAGGCAGATGATACCTCAGGTCACATTAGAGCTATCTGAACATAAGAAACAGTATCCACTGTGGCTGTAATGACATGTAGTAGAAAAAGAAATAGAAGTAAAAGAAATATATCAGGCCAATGCCGTAACCGAGCACTCCTGCTCCATCGCCGCAGGGACGCCATGTGACTTGTCACCTGCGGCTGACGGGCTCAACGAAGAGAAAGTGGAAACAATGTGGGGAATTTAACACAGTGAAAGCGAAAGAAAATGGAAGAACAAAGAGAAGTGATCAACACGAAGGAAATCCTAGCGCATCCCAATGCTTATGAGGAAAAGACACAGACGGAAATAGACAAAGAAAGTAGCGAGGACACCAACAGACCAGTCGCTTCTGATCCCAGGACTTGGCACCAGATCACCGTATCCTACAGCCCAAAGTAGGGAAAGTTCGATCATCAACATCACGTCGTCCCTTATACGTAATCGTTCATCCCACTCATTTGGTCGTGACTTAGACGTTCTTATACAGTAGTAGGGGTTCGCCAACGTTTTCGATCTCGGGAATTGTGCACTTGAGGTCAAAAGCTTTGGCCAGGACAATCTTGAAGATCTACCATGCTGTTAGCACTAGCATCAGGTAATACTGCATGAATTAAACATACCTTTTGCACGTTGATGCTATGACTTGTACTGCTGAAAATCAAGCTGGCCTTCATGGCCTTGGCAAACCGTTTCGCCTAAAGGTGGTCAGTGCGCGCTAAGACACCTCACATGCACTCTCACTCACCTGAATCGAAATCTCCTCCTGGTCCTCGCGGGGAAAGTTGACGAAGTGGTCATATTTGGTACCGATCAGAAAGGGAATGGCCGTCTTGTTGAACCCGCGACCTTGTCGGTACCACTCCTTGATCGAATTCAGTGTGCTTTTGCGCGTGAGATCGAACATGAACAAAATTGCGACAGCATCGTTGCACACGAGGGGAAGCATGTTGACGAATTCACGTTGGCCACCCAGATCCCAAATAGAGAACGTAATCTCCGTATTCCGAATGGAGATAGTCTTCTCCATGAAGTTGACGCCTTGACATCAGGGTCAGCATTATCATTCCTAACCGCGCACGGATCCGCTGCCTACCGAGGGTCTGGATATAATCCTCATCCCAACTACCCTCCACATATTTCACCATCAAACTGGTCTTTCCGATCTGGGCGTCTCCGACCATTCCCACCTTGATTACCACACTGTTCTTAGCTGCCTGTGACGGTTGCTTTTGACTGATATCGTGTGTAGGCTGGGGCAGGTTGTTGGACATTTCGGAGCTGGGGCGGGATGACGATAAGGGCTGCGGCTGATGGGTTAGCGGGGAGAAGTTCTGTCGAGGTTGGTCGTTTTCATTGTGAAAATCGCGAGCCGGGGAGTTGAATTCGTGGGAGGAGTAGTGGGCGCGCGAGTCGCTACTGTAGCCATTTGAGGTTGTAAACTCGTCTGGTCCCGCCAGTCCGAGGCTTGCGGGAGCGGGTGTATCAAGGCTCTGGGGCTGCTCCAGATGCGCCTGATTTGCGACATCCGAAGCGCCGGCCACGGGCAGTTGCGAGGCATCCATATTTGGATGACAGATGTTGGGTTCGGATGGTATCTGTGGGTGGTGTGGATTAGTCCCAGGCGTAAACACGGTCGAAGTCCGGTGGAGCGGGGATGCTGAGACCAACCGAATTTGAGGATTTGGGATCACAGCACCGGTTTCCCGGAACCCATCCAACGGAACAAATTCGGGACGATGACAAAGGGGAGGAGAGAATGATCTATGTGGTTACTGATTTGTTAGTTATCATGTTTGGGATGCAAGCTCTATAGCTTGGGACCCGGTCTGGAGCAATGAGCGGGAAGGATGGACTTGGGTAGTGGTGGTATGCACCTTTTGTTGCAGGAACCAAATAATGTGACAGGTGCACTAGCCGGTGTGGAATGATGGGGGGGCGATAAGGAAGCAACTTAGCGGCACCAAGCAGAGACCAGAGAGAGTGAGTAAAACGAAGGCGGTGCCAACCACGGAGCAACAGCAGAGCAGCACCAACAAGAGGGAAAGAAGGACAGGGCCAGCTGAGGAGTGAGGAGGGATGAGGAACAGCCCCTTGGAGGAGGAAAGCAAGACAAGCAAACACAGCCGCAGCTCTCCAGAAAGCAAAGCCAGCAAAAAGCGGGCGCCAGTCTCCGATCGGGTCTATTCCCCGATAGGCTTAGCGCCCTTGTCCCGTGAATTTCGGCCTGGCGAACAGAAAAAAAAAAGTTCCCCGACTCTCGCGGGCAGGAAATTCAGTCAGTCTCCTGCTACTCAACCGGGTTTGTGGACGACCGACATTTAATTTTAATTCCCCGACACCTACACGTCCCACCGGTTCATCATGTCCAAGAGATCTGCCGACGTTTCCGACGAGCAGAACGCCGCCCTCAAGGCTGGTGAGCGTCCCGTCGTCGATGCCCCTCCCGATGAGGTGGGGGAGTTTGAGGACGAATATGAGGATGAGTTCGAGAGTGAAGATGAGGTTCTCGAGGCTGGTGTAGATGGTCGTCCTGATGCCGAACGGGAGGAGGAAGAGAAAGGTACGATTACGCGCCCAATGCGACGGGTCCTGCCAGTCGCATACTGCCATTCTCGATTGCGGCAGCCATACTGACCCGGACTGGTTCTTTAGATGCAATGGAGGTAGACAAGCAGACTTTCATTCCCGGAAGGACAAAATTGGCGCCTGGAGAGGTCCTCTCTCCTGATCCGTCTACGTACGACATGCTGCACACTCTCAGCACCCCGTGGCCCTGTCTATCATTCGATATCGTGCGCGACTCCTTGGGCGACAACCGCAAGACTTACCCCGCTACTGTCTACGCCGTGACAGGCACACAAGCTGAGGGCAGACGGGCAAAGGAGAACGAACTGATGGTATTGAAGCTCAGCGGCATGAGCAAGATGGACAAGGAAGATGGCATGGACTCGGACAGCGACTCCGATTCGGACGACGACAGCGAGGCAATCCTCGAACACAAGAGCATTTCCCTTGGATCGACAACCAACCGTATCCGCGCCCACCAGACCCCCAACCAGTCCGGAGACTACTCCAAGCCCCCGCAGACTATTACCGCTACGATGCTCGAGAACTCCCAGGTTGTGATTCACGATGTTACCCCCCATCTCACCAGCTTCGATGTCCCCGGAACTATCCTCCCTCCGTCCGCCAACAAGCCCCTGTCTACTCTCCGCATGCACAAGTCCGAGGGATACGCCCTCGACTGGTCCCCACTGCAGCCCCTCGGCAAGCTGTTGACCGGTGACAACGACGGATTGATCTACGTGACAACTCGCACCGAAGGTGGTGGCTGGGTCACCGACACTCGTCCCTTTACCGGCCACATGTCGTCTGTTGAGGAACTTCAGTGGTCCCCCAACGAGAAGAACGTTTTCGCTTCTGCCAGCAGTGACGGCAGTGTCAAGGTGTGGGACGTTCGCTCGAAGTCGCGCAAGCCTGCTGTCGATGTGAAGGTTTCGAACACCGACGTCAACGTCATGAGCTGGTCCAACCAGACTTTCCACCTCCTTGCGACAGGTGCGGATGATGGACAGTGGGCTGTCTGGGATCTGAGACACTGGAAGCCGAATGCCGCGGGATCTCAGACCACAGCCTCCCCTGTCGCTTCGTTCGACTTCCACCGCGAGCCCGTGACGAGTATCGAGTGGCACCCGACCGACGACAGTGTCGTCGCAGTCGGATCCGCCGACAACACGGTCACTCTGTGGGATCTGGCCGTGGAATTGGACGAGGAGGAGAACCGCGAGGCGGGAATGCAGGAAGTTCCGCCACAGCTACTGTTCGTGCACTACACGGAATCCGTCAAGGAAATCCACTGGCAGGCCCAGATGCCCGGTACGATCATGGCTACGGGTGGTGCTGGATTTGGGTAAGTCATTTTCACTCCCCTCTCATATCATTCCCTAGTGACTCAAAGCTAACTATCAACAGTGTGTTCAAGACAATCAGTGTGTAGACGAAAGTTCAACAAAAG